AATCTCTGTGCGTGTTAATGCCAGTGCCTTCTCTGTCCAAGGTGCACGGCAGCCTGCACACCCTGGCACATAATCTTAGATCACAATACGTTACGTACATCTTAACAACTTCTCTACAACCAATTAGTTGTTTTCCATGAGTGTTATTACGCACGCTACTGCCAAATTTAAGAGTCTCCACCAAATAGATATAATTTGCTGGTGGTAAAAAACCGGTGCTACGCTTGATCTAATTTTCATGTATTTATTAGTGCATTCGTACAATAAAAAAGGGGAACAGCAAATCGTATGTATGATGGCAGTCCCCCCAACTTTCGCAGGCATTAGCGAATAAATCAGCAATTAATTGTTTGTCCCTCTTCGACTCGTGTAGGATGGTTATGCTGTACAAGGACATCGCCAAGACGGCAGAAAATGTGCTTCGAGACGATTATGACTTCTCGCGCAAGCTAAAGATTAAGACCACGGCCTCCAACGGTGTCTCATTTACGACAGAGGGTGAAATGGTCAGCAACAAGGCTATTCTGGCCAAACTGTCGGCTTCCTTTAAGCACGAAAACAGTGGTGTTGTGTTTAAAAAGCTCCAGGTGACCACGCACGGCCGTCTGATTACTGAAGCTGAGCTGCCCAATATCTTTACGAGGGGTCTCAAACTCACCGCCAAGATCGAGGATGGCTCGCTTGCCAAAAGTGTTCACGCTAAGCGTATTGGCGTGTTTGGCTGGGAGTATCAGCATTCAAAATACTCCGTAGATGGTGCAATTGACATTGGCTCGACTACAATCAGCAAATCTGCTGTTTACAGCTTTGACAATGTGCTGGTTGGTGCCCAAGCAGCATTTAACTATGAGAAGTCGGCAGTCGTGGACCACAATGTAGCCCTGAGTTATCGTGGCAGCGACTTTACGGCTACGTTGCATACGAAAAAAAAGTTTAACGTACTTTCGGGCTCATTCCACCACCATCTGTCTTATGACACTGTCTACTCGGCGCTCTTCAACTATGATTTAAAATCAGGTCAAAACACACTCAGCGTAGGAGGCCGCTACAATGCTGACAGGCTGACCACTTACGCTGGTAAGGTGGAGTCGAATGGCCACGTATCCCTGGCTTTGATCCAGAAGATTCGCCCCTATTTGGCACTCACCACTAGCGCTCGCGTGGACGTCAAGAACTTTGACGGCGACGCGCACAAATTTGGCATCGGCCTCACTTTGGGCTAAACACAGACATCATAGGCTATGTAGACGTGGATTGCCATTGGTTTGGATCATTTTGGTGGACGAGCATTAATGTTGCCGGAATACCTACAACGTCACTTTAATACACTTCGCCTTTGCCTTTTGTACCCTAATCTACTATCATAATCGAATCTTTCATTACACAACGTTGTAAATTCTTGGCTGACAAAGCGACGCTAGAATGACCGAGACAGACCGCTTCGATAGCATGCTGTTAACTATCGCACAGTCTCAGCGCGGCATCGAGCCGCTGTTGGACACGGTATTCTCGTTCCTGCGGCGCAAAACTGACTTTTTCTCGGGAGCTGAGCCACAGGTAGTCGAGGACACGATCCTTAAGTGCGTACGTAAGCAGGCAGCGTTGGCTGAAAAAGATCGTTTCCAAAAGAAGCAGCAGGAAGCTGAGAAGCGACGAAAGCAAGAGGAGAAAAGGCAAAAGAAGGAGAAAGAGGAGCAACAAGCTAGCGTGCCGCGTTTTGAAGAGATTACGGACGACGAAGCAAAAGAGGCCACACCCGAATCAGCGTCATCTCAGAAGGCAGGCACGACGACGAAAGGAGATGATGATGAGGAAGATAGTGGACCGCGTAAGTGCTTTTTATGGATCTAAATAACTATCGCTTGACGTGGTATTGCCAACTATACCTGTAATGTAGCACTTGTGGGCAACGGAGGCCAAACTGACAAGTATGTGTGGACACAAACGCTGCAAGAGGCACAAGTCAACTTTGCAGTCCCTGAAGGCACCAAGTCTCGTCAAATTGACGTAGATATTCGAGCTAAAAAGCTCCGAGTGGGTCTGCGAGGCGGCGAGACATTTGTGGATGGATCGCTGTACAACAAGGTGAAGGTAGATGATAGTTTCTGGACGTTGGAGGATGGCAATCGCATTTGTGTCTATCTCCAGAAAGACAACCAGATGGAATGGTGGAAAACCATTATCCAGGGTGACGCGGAAATTGACACACAAAAAGTGCAGCCAGAGAACTCAAAGCTTGATGACCTGGACTCGGACACCCGTCAAACAGTTGAGAAGATGATGTTTGACCAGCGTCAAAAAGCGATGGGACTCCCGACGAGTGACGATATGCAAAAGCAGGATATTCTGCAAAAGTTTATGGCGCAACACCCTGAGATGGATTTCAGCAAAGCCAAAATTAACTAGGTGGTGGAAAGCGGCGAAAGCCAATTTTTTGGGGCTACCAAATATACTTCTCAAGAATTTCATCCTTTGTTACTGTTTCTATTTTGTGCGCTTATGAATTCATTATAAAAATACTGCAGGCATATACAGACTGATTCAAAACCTATCAAGATGTCTACTAGCCGTCACCATGTCGTGTCCGTCGTGCTTGGTTCTGATGCGACTCAATACGAAAGCAGCAGTACTGCTATGAATCAATTTGCTGGCAAAAGAATTGCAGGTTTGACGATGACAGCCACAGAAAACGTTAACAAAGAATGTCATGTTCAGTTTGGCGAGCCTGGCAGCAAGAGAGACTTTTCAACTTCTAGCAAGCTCGCAGATCCAGCTGGGGGAGTACAGAGATATAAAGGTGAGCTATTAGCGGAAGCCAAGGAGATGCTTCTGCGCACATCTTCTTGCTTTGGCAAGGATATCGTGCCTTATATATCTTCAACGCACTTGGCTATGCAGTGGGATAAAAAGAAAGTGGAGGAATCCATCAGGCTACGAAATGAAATTCGAGCTCGAACGGGCCCGCAAATAACTCGAGGCATGTCATACGACGATGACATCGAGTATGTTTCGGAAGCAAAAAGTTCCTTTAAAAACCAGTTTGAGTTGTATAAGCCATCAATAATGGCGGCGACGGTGAAGAACGGTAGGATGTGTCTGTATTATGAAGCTACTCGCCAATCAGCTAATTTCTAGAGACTTCTGTGTAGATCTGAGTGCAACTCACTTTTCAATGGGGCATGAGAAACTGGACTACAAAACTTCAAATTACATCAAGCCCATGTCTTCCGAACAGTTTGCGGCTTTTTCCATAAAGCCTCCGCCTACTCACGATCTTAAAATGTCAAATGTCGTAATTTCATAGCTAGGCACTCCGATGCACTGATGCATATATGTGCTGCGAGAGTTTGAATAGTGTATCGAGTATATTATCGCGCTTCTTTATAACGCTAAATTACACGTTAAAACTTTCACCGCACCCACAGCTACCCTTAGCGTTTGGATTTTCAAAAACAAACTCTGACGAGACTGGAGTTACCTAAATAGAAAGTATCAGATCACCTCGTAAGCAATGAAACACCAATAATATAAGCTAATTCTACCTGAAAGTCCATTGTCGTACCAACCACGTGAAATAAAGCTTTGGGTTCCACAAAGACGCGTACACCTATGCGACAACAATGTCAACATGCTTGTTTGTTTTTCCACCAACCAAAATCACAAATCACCATTCTTGTTCACCTCCTCCTCCAAATTCTCTTTCTTTTCTGCGTAGTTCATTGTATACGATAACCCATTGCATCCGCCTGTAATCGTATAAAAATCAACTTCTACAAACGATATAGAGACGCATAAATAATTCGTACGCGTTTTGACACCAAGCCTTATCCCAATTGCGTCTGGCTTATTCACCAGCAACTCCTTAATACGTGTTGCGGCTGCATCCGTCTGTGGTCATAAAAAACAGCGATGTAAGCATTTGCACATATCACAATATAAAGACTATACCACAAAGCTTATAATCGCACAAGTTTCAAAGGTGGCGGAAGCTCTCGCAAGCGTCGTCGTGTGCTTGGTGTAACAGTCTCCGCCACGGTTGATAGCTGCCGCGGTGCGCACACGATACTGAAGCGCGTTGGAAAACGGAGAAGAAATGACATCATGAAGTTAATCTGTTGATTTTGGTTAATTGAAACAGATTAAAAACATCAAGAGCCAAAATTATTTAAATTAGAAATTCATTATTCGAAACAGCCGATGATATAAAAATCAGCATATCTATATACTTTTCTTCGACCCCCAAATTTAGATGAGTTTCAAAAGAAGCGTCAACTTGAATAAAAATATACACATATAAACATTGGTAAGGTGAACAAACACACAAAGGTTTGGTTGTGAATAAACAGTCGGATTGTTATCAAACACACATTGGTTTACTTGTGAACAAACACATATTGACTTGGTCGCAAACATACACACATCAGCTCTCCTGTAGGTAAAGCTGTCTATATTATACTAGGTGCCTACTCGACTTACCTAACATTTATTGTAGCTAAGTATAATGAACATATGTAGATGCCTTTAAGTTGTATGAGCACAGCTTTTTAGACTTATCTTTTGAAACCTATCATAATTCATAAAATGTGCGGCATGAAAAGTTTATGGTTATGTGGCTAAACTTGTTCTGCTATGGTTGGAGTCAGGTATTGTAGTTTTGAAAGGGGAACCTTGTGATGATGCTTGGGTGTTGCTTGGATGGAGCAAGTATTTGTGTCATTCCTTGAAGATGTTCATTTTAAATTTTTGTGCTAGACCGAACAAGAAATTAGGATGTAAGCGTGTAATACACTTTAGTGACACGAAAAGTGGCATTATCGCCAGTCAACTTTGTCAGTGGGTATCAAGTCGTTCATGTTCCCTCGACTTCAGCATGCACAATGTCGGCCCTTTAGACGATACCATGTGCACCGCTGATATTGAAATACATCTGGATATAGAAACGAAGGCGTTGATGTTGGGATAGTCGCGGGTTGGTGAGCGTTATCGGAAGGGACATGCCTGAAGTTGGTAGTGAGATTGATTTGAAGGGGGTTGAAGAAATCGATGTGCGCGGTAGGGAAAAGGACGAGGGACAAAAGTGTGAAGACGCAAAACTGACGCAACCTAATCCATCGAATACCCGTCGTGTCGCTGCGGTCACTTCTGGGTCAGATATTTGGCGGCATGCCCAAGAAGACTTGCGTAAAATTCGTGAGCGCGGTAAAAGTCATGTGAAAAGTCTGTGAGATGAAGCCGAGCAAATTGACGTGTTCGCTGAGGTGGAGAAACTAGTTGATCAATATACGGTTGGGGATGGTCGTGTGCAGTACTAAGCGAAGTGGAAAATGCGTCAAAGAGCAAAAATTTGTACCCTAGGTCGTCAGTAAACGATGCTTCTGGAGTACCGGATCGGAAAAGAGAAGTTGATAAGTACTACGAAGCACTGATAGACCAACCACTTCTTAGACAAGATTAAAGCGATAAGCGCGCGCCTAGAGGCGTTTTCGAAGTTAGAAAATGCTCTTCTTGAACCCCTACAGCAAAAGCCGTCGGCGTCGACCGCATCCATGACGCCACCGTCGACGACGGATGACTCCTTCCGACCAAGGCCGCTCATGGTGAGTGTTTAGATTTTCAGGTGTAAGGATGAAGAGAATCTTCTACTCTGGGTGAGATAGGCAGAGATGGCTATGGCATCAGTGATGCTCCAAACAAGCAACAGCGCGTAGCGCTAGCTATACCCAAGCCCGGAGACCGAGCGCGATAATGGGCACTAAGATGAAGTACTTTGATTAAAGCGGCATTTCTTCTGGACGGAGCTGAAGCTGCAGCTTTTGCGAGTGTTCTCGCCGCCTAACTAGGCATATTGCGTGCGATCGCGTTTTCATGCCGCCCGACAGGAGTAGGTGAGCTTTATCCAAGAGTTGTAAATTCTCATTGCCGGGACCATCTCCCCTCCCAAAGGCGGTCACAGTGACCGTTTGTATGGAGGGCTTTCGCACAGGCGTGGCCAGAATGGAAGTCTTCTGTGTACATTTATCTTCTTTTGAAGAAGCGGTAAATGTTGTATTGAACGCTGAACTTAACCTTAAGTCGGCACGACTTGGTCGGAATGCGCACCCTCATAGCGTCGAGCGGGTCGAGCCGATGGATCTCAGCTATGGTTGGAGAATTGAGGAAGATCTCCGAGCTTTCGTGCAGCGTTTACGGTGTTTTGGCTCGTCACCTTCGGACTGGCTGTCCCCTGCGCAAGGCGCGTAAAGGTCATCGAACCGACGTCCTGCTTCTCACCAGTCTGATTTGTCGCGGGGAACGAGAACATCCAGATGGCGCGAGGCGCCCTACTGGGGAAAACTGAGTTCTGTTGAGCTTCAAAGAGGTTGAGGGCAGCAGGGCCCAGCGCTGAAGATCTCCGTGCTCTTGAACACAAAACGTGTATGCAAGCCGGGCTTGCTGGTCGTAACAGAAACCGCGAAGGAGCTTGGCTTAAACGAATAAGTCTTTGAAAAATCCTGATCGATTGCGAGGAGTTAAACAATTATGTTCGACGCTTCACGATCAAAGAAAGTTAGCTGTATGCTGGGACGCTGGAAGCGCGGTTGAGTGACACCGTCACTGTTCGCTGAGCGACGGGGACTTGTGTTACTGTGCCGAGAGCCTCTGGGGATCTCGGTGTCAAGTTCCTTGACTTAGATAGCGTGAAACGCTGTCTAGTCTTAGACTTGGATTCTAGTCATGCCCTTATCCTTGATGTGGCATGGTTGGAACACCGTGTGCCATGGATGGATCGAAAGTCTAAGACCTTAGGCGCTTCGCGAACGTCACTTGGTGGAGCTTTGGTGAGTCATGAAACTACTTCTGCTAGGAGCTAGGATTGATCAAGTTCATCAACAGATTTGATGTGCAGAATGCAATGATCACCATAAATTTCTTTGATTGACTTGATCGTCGCTGGATCATCAATTGCAGCTTCAGCAACTTAAAGGTTTGACAACTGCAGGTTCAGCGCTGGCTGATACTGCGCATGATGTCGGCACCAATCCCCTTTTAAGCCTCACTGTTGGCTCGTCTTTGGATGTATTTCGTGAAGATGTACTTACACAGTTTATTATTTCTATACATTCATGTTTATCGCCTCACGAAACCCTCACTATTTTTTTGATTTCTAAATATTAAGAAATATATTCGTCAAAGTCAGTAGAAATATTTAGAGAGATCTGATTAGTTTATGTTCTTCAAGTTGCCTGCCAAATGCAATGAAGTCGTTGACTTGTGTGGTCGTTGGAGGCGGGAACGTCTTCGGGGTGATATAAACGACAGTCAAAAAGTATGGGAGCTGAAGAAGATTATTAAAGATGCGAAGATGTACAGCTTTCCTTCGGACCAATTAACGTTGTACGTCGCGAAGAAGAGCGGCAGCTGGCTTAAGACGGACGATCCTGATGTGACGATGTTGGAGAATGATGACGTTCCCATAGGAATCATCAATAAGAAGGAAAACAAAATGGATCCAAGTTATCGTGTACGCAACACAGTTTTCGGTTTGCCCAATGAAGACGCCGCTGCAGATGGTGAAAAACCACGTGCTAGTGAAAGTACCAGAAGCTACGGTTGAACTACCCACGGACAAATTTGATGTGGAGCGACAGCGAGTTGAGCATAAATATGTCGCTGGCGGAGTTATGGGAACACTCGGAGTTGCAACTGACAGCATTGCCTGCTCCACACCAGCTGGTAGAGCTCCTCCAGAAGCCATTGCCGTTCAAGCTAATGCTGCGCGATCCGGTGGCTGCCGGTGGTGTCTTCATTCCGGATGGTCCACTCCTTACATGCCCGGATCTTGCGCTGATGATGGACAATATTCTGTATATGTGTATCTCTCCACCTGAAGGAAAAGCGTCGGAGAACTCATGGCGAGAGTACTATAATGCATTGCTTCGGATTTCAAACTCTCTGTGCCGCGACAGGGGCTTCAGATTTCGAGGATTCAGAAATCTCGCAGATAAAACAGAAACTACTATTCTACGAAAGCGACCGGACTATATCTTCCTGTACAAGGGACTCGTCTTGATGCGTGGAGAAGAATAAAGTTCTAGTGCCAATATCCACGGTACGAGGGGACTTAACTACCAAGATGCGCCGGTGGAACGTGATGTTTTATAGAGGTCTCCCGTACATCTTGGGTTACGCTACATCCGGGATGATATACAAGTGGTGGCAATCGAAAGATCCGACGGACCGTTTCGCGCAACTATGATTGTTGAGTTCAGCGTCTTAGAGGATAGAGCTGGAGCTTTGAAAATACTTTACAACTTGGCGTTGTTGCTCCACCAGATGGCCAAATTGACGAAGCGATCATATGCGTGTGATCTGGAGCCATTCGTACCCGATGAAAACGAGAAACGGAAGATCGTGCTGTTGGATGGTTCAATCGAACGGACGATTAAACATACACAGAGCGGTGGTGAAATGGACGTTGAGCGACTCAAAAGCGTATACGAGACTCTGCGAGGATTAGACGAAGGCAGCCCCATCACACATCTGCAAACCGTGGAAAAATTGAACCTGATGCAAGACGGGCGGATTATCTCCGGTTGGTTATCTGCGGCTTTTTTTTGACGAGTTGACCGAGTGGTTGCAACATATGCTGACAGCGTTGAAGTATTGGCATGGATGCGGGTACTGCCACGGTGATATTCGATGGCGTAACATCGTGTTAGTGCCGACCTCTGGTCTCAGCTATTGGGTGTTGATCGATATGGACGAGTCGCTTCAACCCGACACAACGACTATTCACTGGAACCATCGGTATCATGGCCAGAAATTACGAATCCAGCACGACTTGTGTCAGCTTGGTCAGCTGATGGAAAAGCTACCCTTTGAATTTTCTGGCGATCTGAAGACCATGCAAGCGATGCTTCTATCGGCGGTAGATACCCGAGAGTTGACGGCGGAAGTTGCGCTTACAATGCTGGAGGCGTACATTCGATCTAACGGCTTTCCAAACCGGTTCTAAAATGATGTCGTACTTACTGGAGCTGCTGTCGTACTTTTCAATTTGCCGGCTATCCCACAAGTTGAATTCAAGAAGCCTCTCCCAGCTCTC